GGGGCTGATTTTCCACTAATAGATTGCCAGGCCTTTGTTCTGCGGCATCCTGAACTTAAACCAACAACCTTCAACCTTTTCATCAGCCCTCAAATAAGTTAAGTGCTTGCATCACCCAAAGATTTCTGGTCTGGAGTTGTGTTATCGTTGGTTGATACCCAGTTCTTTCCAATTTACAGCAGCACCATGTGAGAGCAAAAATAGGGTTTTCTAGGCTATAATCCTCTCATACAGCCACTGGTTGAGTTCAAGTCATCACCTTTCGTGTTACGAGGCAAGTACTTAACAATTGTGCTATAGCATTCTTTCAGGTCTGCTACTTGGTAGAGCCCAAGAATCAGTATTTCTAAGCATAGGCACTCCATGATGAAGCTGAGGAGGGAGGAGGGCCACATTGAGAATGGCAGTTAGCTATCTGCAAACTAATCGCTTTCAAGCAAGCAAGTGGCATTTGATCTCCAATTTCAGAGCTGCCTTGGTATCCTAAGGGGGCTCTGGTGGCGAAGTCTGCAGCCCATTGCTAACCCAAATACATCACGTCCCAGGCGGTTAAAGCCACCAGTGGCTCCACAGAGACACACAGACGACTGTGTTTGCAGCCTCAGGAACCCGAAGGAAGCTTGCTATGAATAGGATTCAACTCAAAAGCAGTGAGTTTGATGCTTGTGCGTTGTTTTGTTGTTGTTTTTTTTCCGGTAACCTTTAACAGTTCTCTTAAGGGACTCTCCTTCCCACAGTCCAATCCACAACCCTGGCTGGTCTCCAAGTAAAGCATTTACAGGGAGGGTCTATGTCAAGCTAGAAGCATGCTCCACCTGAAAACATTCGCAAAGACTGAAAAGCTGTGCTCCCAAGCACACGCACTCACCTACGCCCCCCGCTGGCCATTTGGCGCCTGTTGATTTCTGGAACCACCTTCTGCTTCACCATACTCCATTTCCTTTTCTGCTTCAAATCTTGCACCAGTGGAAAAGTCCGAAGTAGGAGACTGAGAAACCTATTAGCATTTTGACTACCTTCTTGTAGATGAAGCCAGAAACACGACATGCTCCTACGAGAAGCAGGGGCTCAGCACTGCTCCCACTTGATGCTGATCAGAGGACACAATATAGACTTGCAACAGGAAGCAGGTGAGCAAAATGTGATGCCATGCAGCCAGCTCCTCCAGAACCACTGGCTTAGGAGACTCCTGCTGGAACGGATTGTTCAGGATGTGAATATTTTTAAGCGAAATCTACTTAACGTCCCTCCATCAGGTAGCCAGGCAGCATGACCTTATATAGGAAAGCGCACTGGGAGCCCCAAAGCTCGTAGTGAGTGACCCAATTCTCAATGCTCCACAGCTTCAGAATGAGAGTTGCTTGAAGGGCAATGGTATAGAACATTGTAAAAATCAGGCAGGCTATACAACACAATGCTGTCACGTTGGATCAAACTCATAGCTGACCCTCCTTCAGGTTTTCAGAGACTGTAAATCGCTCGGGAGGAGTTGCTGGTGAACCAGCACTGTGTAGCACCACCCAGAGAACTACAACAGTAGGACAAAACAAGCTATAAAATACTTATGTGACTACAGCTGAGACATTGGTGGAATTCACTATCAAACTAGTTTGCCTCGAAGAGCTCAAAGAAAACAACATCGCCTGATAGTATTCTGGGGAGAAAAACTATGAATGGCAGTGAGAAGAGGTATGAATGAATGGGCCACAAAGAATCATGTCTATTAATCTTTATTGCACATAAGAGAGCCTACAAAATAAAATCAGAGTTGGGATAAAACTGTCATGTTCAAGTCAATGAGTTTGTTTTAAGCGATACAAACATTGATTCTGCACATGCTCAGAGGTGAACTGTTTCAGATTTGAATTTCATGAGACATTCAGCCTGGTAGCTTGTACAACTGTGTTTTAAGCATTTAAAGACCAGTCATCTATCTACTGGAAAAAAACATGTCAACTGACACTGGTAAATCAATAGGAAGTCTCAGGCCATACTGACAATGTACAAATCAATAGAAATTATTACAGTTTCCAGAAGATAGGACTGAACTAATCAAGGATTCAGATTCTTTAATTCAAACTCAAAACCCAATCTAAGATGTATAACAGGGAATAGCTCAAAAAGCGAAGGCAGTGGAAGTGAGGCCAGGGAACGTCCTCTTTGTTAAACACGGAAATAGGGGAGGCATGAGAAATAGGCGATGGGCAGCACTGAACTGAAGCCTCCTGCCATCAATCATTCCCTTCAGGGCAGGGCAGACCCCGGGGAGGGAGCAGCCCTCTCTTCTTTCATCCTATCTCTACTTTCTCTCATCTTTCATCTTTTCATCCTCTCTCTCCTATGGGAAATTTGACCATCATAAACCTAAAAGAATGAGAGAAGAACTGGCTTTTATCCAAAAATAGAAAAACAGCTCTAGGGTTTTGTGTTTGTTTCTTTTTAATAGAGAATACAATATCATTCTTGATACGACACACTGAAAAATCAGCAGCATAAGTTATGAAGAACTATTTCAAACTCACACACTTGATTTCCACTGAATTCTTTCAGCAGTTTCATGTATTACATTATTTTCTTACTTTGCGTCCAGCAAAATACAATGAAGTATTACAGTGATTGGCATCATTGCACCAGCAAATAGAAATATTGACCATATGTGGCAAATAAAAGCATTTCAAGTGATGATGATCCAAACCTAAAAGTGAACAGGGAATTCTCTTTGAAGGTATAGTCACTTTCCTCCAATATTCTAGCTGTGGTAATTCTCTGTTCTTCATCACTTCACTTACAATGAACATTGGATGGCTTGTCACTATGGAGTGATTCATTTTCATTCCTTTGAAATGTGTGGTCCAAACACAGCACTGTAGCACACAGCCATGGGTTACTGGATGTTAGTCTTGTATACCCAGCTCAGCACACTCTCACATGTGTGAATGAGGCCAAGGTGTGTACCTCATGTAAAGAAACTGCCAGGCGGGTGTTAACGCCACTGCCTGCCCGGGTCTCACATCTCCACACAGCTCTGGAAGGTGGGCTCTGTTAAAAAGTGCAGTGGGTGGAATTTTAAGGTACAGTAAGTATTCAAAGTTGCATGCTCTCTAGCATCTACTTCAGGGTGTGGACCTTCGGGGTTATCCTGAAGAAGGGCAAATTACAAGAGGGATATTCGACCCAATTTCTTAGCCACAGTTCGTCCCAGGCACATGGAGGACTCATGTGAGGCCTGACAGGCCCATTAACTTATATACTTAGTTCACTCAAAAGTACGCTTGTGATGGAAAGAATTAATCCAGCCTTTAAAGGTTGCTAAGCCCAGAGCAGCTAAGGCAGAACTAGTTACGAAAATACTAGTTACGAAAATATAGTGCCTCCGAAAGTGAGTCTGAACATACACGTTTGTGATTCTCTGCACAGCTGGGGTCACGGGCATGTCGCCTTTCTCTGCATGTGGACATGTGTGAGCCCTTGAGTAAAAGCATCACGACAACAGAGACCACTCGTCACAATGAAGGCAATTCCTATAGGTTTTCTTTCACAGAAAGAGTAAGTGTCATCATGCTTTTTCCATTTTGTTCCTCCTAGGATTCTAACAATGCAGTTCAAATATGAAAACATTTCAATCATCAGAGTCAAACACTCTTGAAAAACTACTTCAAAAACAGTACAGCGAAATATTGAACCAAAATAATTTTCAAGTTGTTCTTGCCACAGGCCAATTTAATCACCTTCTATGAGCTTAAAGAATGTCACTCAAATTATTATTTGTCCATTTGCCTTTTACCTAAGGAAAAGGAATAAAGGGCAGGGGTGAGGGGGTAGGGAGAGGAAGGAGAATTATTAGTTTTAAATTAAAAAAAAAGGGTTAGTCTCTTAAGATACACAGAATAAGGCTCTTTGGGTAATCCAACACAAAGATTTTTCTTTTTTTAAATTTATTAATGACAGTTGTAGTAGAATATGGCCGAAATATTTACAACAGCAATTCAATCAGAGTAAAGTAATAAATAATACCTACAGAGAGTATAACTTAAACTTCTTGAAAACTACTTACTTAAAATCAATCAACTGCTTTTGAGAGCTCCCAGTAAAAATCAACTTCATTATCATTTGGCATAAGCTCTGTTCAAGTACACGTTTTCAGCACTGCCTTTTTAGACAAAAGGATGCTGACGATGAGTTGGACTGATTGAAAATACTGCCTTGGTCATATTGACTCTAATTTAAAGTTAAGGCTTTGCAAAGTTATGAAGAGCTAAGTAAAGCACATTCTAGAGAAAACGTCTGCCACAGATGCATTAAGGCATAAATGTTCCAGCCTTTAGCCACAAGAACAGGGGAGAGGTGAGAGGCCAATTACTTAGGTTATCTTTAACCAAAGGAATTGAAGAATTTATCACCTAAAAATTGGGCCAATAGGCAGACACTGTAAGAGAACATACACAGGGCTGGTGCTCAAAACCAGCGAGGGCTGCGTTCCCTTCCAAGAGGCATCATATTCACAACAGTGGCCCTTTGCCGCCCGCCCCACCCTATGCACTAGAAGGTGGCACAAACATTGCTAGTAATAAAGTGTGCCCCCTGCCTCGGTCTTCTCCAAAAAGTGTACGTATGTGGTTTTCCTTAACTGATACTGTCATCAGTGGGGACAACGCTCCCACAGTCACCCCTGTTTGGGTTTCACGGGCCCATATTGCACATTAGCTGCTGGAGCAGGCTGGGAACGCCACGCTGCGGGGGCCTTTCAGTCATAACCCAGGAATGTTCCCCACACCGTGAAAGCAGCCCGGATGCTCGTCCACAACACACCCTCCATATTTCACTTAGAAATGCCACCCTTGCTCAGGCTAGTGAGGGAGAAGGAGACACTTCTAAATTCCTTCTGTTCTCAAGCAAATGACTGCACATCTCCCAGGGCCCAGCTCCAAGGGTTACAAGCTAGGCTTTACTGTGTGATGCTCAGTCTTCTGCAGTGATGTCCAGAGGTTGCTTGGTACATTTCATGCTGAGGCAGAATGAACATCCTGGTTTTCAAAAGGTGGCAGCGGCTCTCTCCAAAAGGTGAAATTACTAAAAGTATCCGAACAGGGAAAGTCTGAAGAATGGCTTCTTTTCAGCAATGGGAAAATGTGGTCAACCACTTCACAGAGTCTCACATACCTGGAAGGAAAATAGAAATCATTGATGCCAATGAATGACACCAGCTGATCCCAGCCACAGAAAATATCTACCATGCCCCCAGAACTGTGCTTCCAAGTCAGGAGAAAGAGATGGTCCTTCCCTCAAAGCTCTGAAAGGCCATGGGAACCCCATACGCCACCACCTCAGACTGGAAGGATAAATGGTGCCCACCTGCCGCAGCTGGCAACCCTACAAGGGATCAAAGCGGAAGGTCCTGGAGAGAGTGGGTGAAATATGTAGAATGAAACTCAGAAATGGGAAAATAGCCAGCTTACTAGTTTGATAGAGACTGGCAGAAACCCTGAGAGGGTGGCCCTTACCCACTTTTCAAAGATGGAACAAAACTCACTTGTTCAGCTTGCAACCAAATAATAAAACCAAACCAAAGCAGCTGCCACTGAGCCAAGTCCGACCCACAGCAGCCCTCCACCAGGTCTATAAGGCTGCATCGCAACAGCCCATCTGTCTCCCTAGAAGAGCAGCCTCTGGTGGATTCAAGCGGCTGAAGGCATGTGGCTTTTTAGTTAGCGGCCAAATATGCTGCAGATTATGCCACCACAGCTCATTTTAGAAAATAGATATGTCTATGCTGTTGTCATTTTGTGCCGTCAAGTCACTTGAGATTCATAGCAACTCTCTGTACAACAGATCTGAACCCTGCTCTATCATGTGTCAACCTTATTGTCTCTGACATGCCCACTCCATCACCCTAGTCATGGAGTGAATTCATCTCATCAAGGGTCTTCCTCTCCTGCGCTGTCCCTCCACCCTCCCAAGCATGATGTCCCTCTCCAAGGACTGATCCCACCTTGCAACATGCCCACAGTATGTCAGACGAAGCCTCAGAATCCTTGCCTCCAAGGAGCATCCTGGTTTCACCCTCTCCAGGAAAAACCTGTTTATTCTCCCGGCAGTCCATGGTATATGCAATACTCTTTTCCAGCACCACAGCTCAAAGGCATCAATTCTGTTTCTATCATCCCTAGTCCAGCTCTCTGATGCATAGCAAGTAATTGCGAAAATATGGCCTGTATCAGGTGCACCTTAGTCTCCAGACTAACATCGTTGCTCTTCAGTACTAGTAGTAATATGGTAAGACATGTCTATGAGTCACTAACTCCTTAGAATGATCAACCATATAAGATTAAAAAGGCAGCAGCATTTTCCCAGGGATAAAGCTTAGAAGGTGGAAAGGGTCAGATAGATGGATTAATGGAAATGACAATAACAGGGAAAGGGAGAGAGTATAGTTACATTGTATATGTTAAAATTATATCATAGAAGCTATATGAATGGTTGAATGGAAACCCAATTAACTCTGCAAACTTTCAAATCTCAATAAGCCCTGTCCCCTAACCCTCCCCCTTACAAAAAAGCACTGATCACCAGCTTAACCTAGTGGAAGCAGTTCTAGAATCATTTCTTCCTAAGTTGGTAGAGATCAGAGAAGCGATCAAAGAACATGCAAAGGAACTGAAGAAGGCTTTGTGGAAAAGGTAGGTCTTGGCTTTGCCACCAAGGAAACACGAAGAGGAATAGAGTAGGTCAAGGGGGGACAGAAGAGATGAGCATGGCAAAGAATCAGAGATAAAAGACATCTCTAGACCATCTAACAGAGATGGCTTTACTGCATGATGAGAAGACCTCAAGCCCTTGAAGGTCAAGGAAACAGGGATGTAAACTTCAGATCTGTCATTTATTTGGTTGATATAAGAAAACATTTGTGATTTTAAGAAAATTGCTTCATCTCTCTAAGCCCCAATAATGAAAGCCTCAATTTCTGCATAGGGAATTGCCAGAAGTTCAAGCAGGATTTAGAAGAGGCTATGGCACCAGGAATATCATTGCTGATGTCAGATGGATTCTGGCTGAAAGTAAGGAATACGAGAAGAAGGTCTATTTGTGCTTTATTGACTATGTAAAGACTTCTGACTGTGAAGCTGTGGCTGACACTGAGGAGAATGGGAATCCCAGAGCACTTGATTGTGCTCATGAGGAACATAGATACCTGGATCGGAAGCTGGTGTGTGAACAGAGCAGGGGAGAACTGCATGGTTTGGAATTGGGAAGCGAGTGTGTCTCGGTTGTATTCTGGGTCCATACCTGTTCAGTCTATATGCTGAGCAAATTATCCAAGAAGCTAGACTCTATGAAGAGGAATGTGGCATCAGGGTTGGAGGGAGACTCATCAATAGCCTGTGTTATGCAGATGACATAACCTTGCTTGCTGAATGCGAGGAGGACTTGAAGCAATTATTGCAGAAGATCAAGGAATGCAGCTTTCAGTATGGAACGCATCTCAAATTATCAAGAAAACAAAGATTCTTATTGCTAGACCAATAGGCAGTGTCATAATAGATGGAGAGGAGATTAAAACTGTCAATAGCTTCATCTTGCTTGGATCCACAATTAACACCCTTGGTACCGTCAGGAAATAAGGAGACACATTGTAGAGGTAATATCTGCAGTTAGGGACCTCTCCAAATTATTTAAAAGGAATGATGTCAGTTTGAGGACTAAGGTGCATCTGATTCAGACCATTGTTTTTCCGATTACTAGTTATGCATCGGAGACCTGCACAATAAATACGGATGACAGAAAAAGAATTTATGCCTTTGAGCTGTGGTGTTGGAGAAGACCACTGAACATCCCATCGATGGCCAAAAGAACAAACAGATATGTCTTGGATATGGAGCAGCAAGAATGCTCTTTGGGGGCAAGAATGATGAGGCTTTGCCCCACATACTTTAGACATGTTGCTAGGAGATGCTGTTCCTTGTAGAGGGACGTGATGTTGGGGAGGGTGGAGGGTCAATGAAGGAGAGGAAGACCCTCAACCAGGAGGATTGAAATGGTGGCTGCTGCAGTGGGCTCTTGTGTGTCAGAAAGTGTGAGGATGGTGCAGGGTTCAGATCTTTTGTTCACAGGGTCGCTATAAGTTGTACTCAACTCAACAGCACCTAAAAACAACAATAGTGATGAAAATGGTACCACCCTGTTCATAAAATATGAGAACTAAATAAAACAATGTATGCACCAATGTGTGGCTCCATACGAGGCATTCAGTACATTTATTCAACAATAAATTTTAAGCATGACTTTGGAAAAGTCCTGGCTGGCATGAGGGTTTAAAAGACCTAAACTCAACTTTTGACTGACTTTTGCTGGGCAACCTTGGAGAAGTCCCTTGCCCTCTCTGGGCCTCAGGAGCTGCATCTTTCAAGTGTGTACGGTTAAATCAGGTCAGTGTTTGTCAAAACATAGCACAATTTCTCTCATTTTGTTCTCTATGTATCTTAAAGAAGATACTGAATAATAGGTTATTTTGGCTTGTTAAAAAAAAAAAAAAGCAAAGTTGCTCCATTTTCAGACTGCTGGATGCCTCCAAGCAGAGATGCTGACGCGCCCTCTCCTCTCTTGCACACCCACAGTGCCCTCAACAGTCACTGGGCTCCCTTTCCAGTTTCAATTTCCTAAGACCCTGGAAAGAGCTTTTGAAATCCAAACTCCAGGAATTAGTATGTTCTGAGGCATAAAATAACATTAAACAAGAATGAATGTGTGTATTTAATAAAGGACCTCCAAAGGACTTATGAGAAATAATGTGCTTGCACAAAATAGGGAAAATCTCACTTAATGAGCAAGCATTATGTCTTTTCTGGGTATTAAAACAAACAAAATTAAAAAATACCTCCTGGCTTTCAGGCCTTTTTGTCTGAATTCTGAGGCTATAGGAGGATGGTCCCTCTGGCAGGGAGAAGTTCATTGCCAGGCTGTGCTGGGCACCAGATTCAAGGTCACTCTCACATGCCCTGAGTGAGAGCCGAACTCCATCTCTAGGGCTCTTCCTGGCCCATCCTTTACACACAGGGCTCCTTCAGAACAAGTAGGTCTCACAGACTAGTACTCTCAAACACAAAACCTCTCTATCGTATGTGGGCCCCAATTCAGTTAAAGATATTTCAGACGATTTCTCCGACATGGTACCAGGTCCAAGAGGAACAAGCACCTTCTTAGCTTAGAGATGGTTCGGTACTAAGCTCTGTGCCAGGAAATATGCACGTCTCCATGGGCAGAAGAGTTGCCCTCTCGTAGGAATAATCATACCTCTCAGTCTATACATTAGACAAAAATGCTCTGTGGCAAGGCATGAAAAAGGTTTCTCTCATTCAAAGAGCAACACTAGGTCATGCCATGGTCAAAGCGTGCATCTTAGTTCCAAAATCTCAGTAATGGACTACCCTCCCAGGCCTGTGGGCAAAGCCTCAGATTCCCCTTCCCTTGTGACAAGGCTGCCACTTCTCTGCTTTCTAGGAATAAATAGTCCCTTCCTGCCATTTCCAAGAAACACATCGTCAGAGGAAAGGTTTAGACAAGGCCTATCCTAGACCTTGTGCAAACTGGAGAAATCCTTTCAAGTGGGAAGAGAGATTTCTGACGGGTAAATTTTAAGCAAAGGAGGGGGAAAAACTTCAAGAACAAAGTCCCTGCAGTCATTCCATGGATCAGACATCAGCCTGACGCTGATCTGTTGTTGTGGTTGTTATTTTGCTGCTGAGTTACCTGCAACACATAGTGACCCTGTGTACAGCAGCTCTGAAGCCTGCCCTGTCCTGAGCCAGTCTCACTGACTCCGACACACTTGCCCTCATTGTTCCAGTCACTGTATAAATTCATCTCATCCAGGGAATTCCTCTCCTGCGCTGTCCCTCCACCCTTCTGAGCATGATGTCCTTCAAGCAACGGTCCCTCCTGGTCACATGCTCAAAATATGTAAGACGGAGCTTCAAAATCCTAGCCTCCAAGAAGAAACTGACTGTCCATGGTATGTTCAAAACTCTCCTCCAGCACCATAACTCAAAGGCACCTATTCTTCTTCTGTCATCCTAAGTCATTGTCCAGCTCTCTGATGTATAGCAAGTAATTGTGAAGACCATGGCGTGGACACTGATTTACAAAATGGAAGATGGAGACGGGCCTGGGCTCCATCTTCCCCCTCTCTCTATATGCCTGGAGAATTTTTTGCACTAGCTTGAAACAGCCCGACTTTAAGCTAAATCAGACTCCAGCTACAATAAGGATCATCTTCAAAGTGCAGATCTGCTCTTGGGGGAATCAGGTTTTCTACCATAAAATCACATGATGTGCCTGGAGACAGCAAACCTGAAGAAGCCACCAGAACCAACAACAATTCTCCAAGTCTAACTCCCCTGAGGCTCCTTGGGGTCACTCAGACCAGAGGCTATGTTCTAGGTCTACAATGACCAGGCCAAAGGCGGCCCAGCCTCCAAAAAGGACTAAGCAGGATGATACTTGTCTGCCTGGGCCAACGTCACCAGTGGGCAAAGCACCCTCAAAACACATCTCTCACAGAATGAAAACATGTTTTCTACTATATAACAAGTTAGGAAACCAAACTGAGGCATTTTGAAAGACATAGATCCAACCCACTAGAATGCCTTATTTAAAAAAGCAGCAATCCAACTTAGCCCACTGACTCTGGCAAACTGGGCTATGATCAAAAATGTAAGAGGCATTTTTATACCTACCCAAAAATGTGTCTGCTAAGAATATTATAGGTTGGGATATGAAGAGATAAGCAGATCCTCACCTTCAAACAGAGCTTCACGTGACACTTGCAACTGGTTACATTTCTAATCTACACACTGAACTTCCAAAACTAACTTGACAAATCTAAACCACAAGTTGACAGATTCACTCCATTCTCTGCTGTAGCAGAATCTAACCTCTGGCTTAAGCTTTGGATCCAGAGGGAATTTTATTTAAGTTGCCAAGAATTAAATGGGGGGGTGGGGGAATGCAATAAGCTAAGAAACATTTTGTCGGTATAGGAATTTAAGATTGAAATATGGGCAGTTAAAATACGATCAAAAGAGATACTGTAAACTTTGAAATAGCATTCCAAGATTTGAGGGAGGAGAGGCAGGGTTGGCAATAAACCATAGACATAAAGCATGCGCAGTACTCACGAGGAGATGTTGGTCTTGGCGTGTTCTTGCACTAGCTCGCCTTTGGGGTTGACAGTGAATATTCTATTCAAAGACACTCCTACTTGCTTGTATGAATATACATCCTAGGTATAGTAAAGGCCATTAGAAGTGTTAATTTAAAACAAATCATAAAAACAAACACATGCTAATTCTCATTTCCTACACCACTTAAAAATTTCACTAACCAAATTATATCCCCAAGTGTTGTAGAGAAAGAGTATCCCCAGTGTGAAGCAATTCAATCCACTTTATTCTCTGGACCTCAGTTCCATTATTTGGTCAAGAACTGAGTTGTACAATGGATAACCTACACTGTGTCCCCTTGCAATTCTCCCACATGGAAAGGTCTGGCCCATAGTCTCTGTCATGATTCCAAAAGTAGGAGCATTTTCTTAGTGGGCAACTAATATCCAATGATAGGTCCATATGTAAAGAGATAAAGAGACTCGCCAGAATGCTGAACTTTCTAGTAAATTCTCAAAGTACTGTGATACCATACAAAACAATATTCTACTGAAATGCCGACTTAACTCCTGTCCTAAGGTTGGTTTTGGAAGCTCCTTCTGATAAAAAAGAAGTGCCCAAATCTACTGTATGTTATTATTTTACTTATTTTTAAGCAAGCAGGCAGCCATATGACTCAGAGAGAACCCAAAGTGTGAGCCTCTGGCATCTAAATTAGGCAACTGGATAGTACAAGCCAGAATTTGTGGAGGCTCCAGTCCACATCATATGCTTCAAATTGAAACCAACCTGCCAATCGTTAAAGAAAACTAGAGTTCATGAAAAAATTTTAAAGTCTCTTTTCCTTTAAATATAGACAAAGGGCTAATTCCCAGGCTATTTTTTGGTAGAATATAGGCTGAGAATTTGGCTTTTTATGCCACTGTTAACACAGATAACTGTTGTCAGAAAAGGTAGTCATTTCAAGAGCTCTGACAAATAAACCCCATCTATTACTTACAGCTTGGCGGTTTCCAAAAGCAGCATAAAAAGGTTCTGTATTTGGGAAAAACAGGTTTTTGATGTCTGTCAAACATTGGACTTTAAACTTTTCTGGCTTCTTTTCAATCACTTCTCTGTTAAAATAAATAAATAATGGATCAGAATGAGAGGACAAGCTTAATTAATAGCAAAACTATTTTTAACATTCAAAACTGCATTACACTAAGAATATTTCCACATCTTCAAAAAATTAAATCTGAATAAGCCAGTTGGTCCTATGAAAGCACTAGACTTAAAGTCATCCCACAAACAAGCCACTGTGGAAAATCATTTCACTAAAAAACAATTAACAGTGCATGGGAAACAAGGAGACATTCTCAAAGTCATTTTATGAAGTAGGAAATCTCAAAAACAAAATCTGAAAAAGAAAACTATGAACAAATATGAAGACATAATCCTATACAATCAACGATTTATTCATTGCAACTACCTTTTAAAAAAAACAAAACATCCACTATACACATAGACTTCCCCTGACGGACCATTTAGGAATTTGACTGATTACATGATGGGAGAAAATATCAGCTGTAACAACCAGGCCAGGTGCTGACTATAGAATAGACCGTCAACTACTCTTGTGCAAGTTCAAATTGAAGCTAAACAAAATTAAATCCATCAACCCCAAAATATGACCTTGAGTCTATGCCACCTGAATTTAAAAACCATGTCAAGAACAGGTTTGAGGTTTAACACTCATGAACGGACACCAGATGAGCTATGGGAGGACTGGGCATGTTGTTAGGAGGGGCTAGTTCTTGAAAAAAGACATCATGTTTGGAAAGCTGAAGAATTAGTGTAAGAGAGGAAGACCCTCACCAAGAAGGGTCAGCAAAGTGACTGTGACAATGGGCTCAAGTGTATCAGAGATGATGAACACGGCACAAGACAGAGACTCTGAAATATGAGGGTCACTATGAGTCATAGTCAACACGACAACACATAACAATAACAACGCTGACAAGGAAAGAATCAGCACAGCAGGGACCGTGGTTCAAACTTTTAGACCACAGAGAAATTCTGTTCTTTCAAATCACCCCCTTGTGATATTTATATTACTGCAGCATCAGAAAACTAAGACACTGTCTTGAAGCTCAACTAGCAAAATGCTTTTTCTCTAAATAGTCCAGAAGAGTGAGTTGTCACTCAAGTTGTCAATCAAACCAAGGTCTGACTATATTTGGATGTAGGGGGGTGGGGGAAGAAAACTGTTGTAGAAAATCTATTAAGCAATAGAAAATATACACCGTAAGTTGAGAAATAAATCTAAGAATATTAAAAAAAAAAAGAATTTCTAAAAAAAACCAAGCAGAATAGAAATGTAATCCTGAAGAAAAATAAGCAAAAGAACTAACCTAAGTGGAATTTCAGAAGTGAAGGAGAGAAAGTAAGACAAAAGCAGTATTTGAGTAAAAGGATTATTCTATTAAAAAAATAAAAACAATATGATAATATGACCGAAGAAAAGAAAAACAATCATTACAAAGACAGAGGTGGAAGAAATGACCAAGATGGATGTCAAAGGAGACTTTGAATATTGCACTAGAAGGCTGGGAATCCAAAACAAAGAACAGGAATGAGGAAATTAAAGAGTGGAACACAAGATTTCAATGGGCAGCATGTGAAGACAAAGAAAAGTATTATAGCAAAATATGCAAAGAGCTGGAGTCATAAACTCAAAAGGGAAGAATTCATTCAGTATTTCTCAAGCAGAAGGAACTAAACAACAAATGCAAGCCTCGAGTTGCAGTCACTTAAAGATGCTGTGGGCAATATAGTAAATGTTCCAGGATGCATCAAAAGAAGTTCGAAGGAATACACAGAGTCACTGTACAAAAAGAACTGGCTGATATAGAACCTTTTCAGGAAGTAGCCTTTGATCCTGAAGCAATTATGATGAAAAAGGAAGCTGAAGCTGCCCTGAAGGAATTGGTAAAAAATAAGGCTCCAAGAATTGAGGGGATACTAATTGATGTATTTTATCAAACAGACGGAGCCCTGAATGTGCTCACCAGGCTGTGCCAGGAAATCTGGAGGACAACTACCTGGCCAACACACTGGAAGAGACCCATATTTATTCCCATTCCAAAAAAACGTAGATCCAACCAAGTGTAGAAATTAATGAACAATATCACATGCAAGCAAAATCTTGAGGATTATAAATAAAATTTTAAAAATTACTACAAGAGTACATTAACAGAGAACTGCCAGAAATACAAGCTGGATCTAGAAGAGGCTGTGGCTTTAGGGATATCATTGTTAATGTCAGATGGATCATGGCTGAAGTAGAGAGTAGAAGGATGTCTATTTGTGTTATATCAACTTTGCAAAGGCATTTGATTGTGTGGACCACAACAAATTGTAGCTAACATTGAGAAGAAAGGGAATCCCAGAAAATGAGTGCACTCATTTGAAACCTGTATCTAGAACAGGAAGCAGTTGTCTGAACAGAGCAAGGGAACACTGCATCGTTCAAATTCAATAAAGGAGTGTCTCAGAGATGTATCCTTTCTCCAAACTTTTTCAATCTATATAATGAACAGATCATTTGAGAGGGGGGAACTTTATGGCACCAGGATTGGAAGATAACTCATTAACAACCTGCATTATGCAGATGATAAAACCTTGCTCACTGAAACTGAGGACTTGAAGCATTTGCTGCAGAAGGTCAAAGGGCAACCTTCAATATAGATTGCATCTCAACACCATGAAAAAGATTCTTACCACTGGGCCAAAAGGAAGTATCATGATAAATAGAGAAAGGAGGACTGAATTTGGGGATGGTTTCATCTTGCTTGGATCCACAATCAATATTCTTGGCACCAGCAATCAGGGTATCAAAAGACAAGTTGCATTGGGAAAATCTACTGTCAAGGATCTCTCCAAAATGTTAAAGAGCAAAGATGGCGGTTTAGAGACTAAGGTGCACCTAATCTAGGACATGGTCTTCTCCACTGTTTGCTAGGCATAAGAGAGCTGCACAATAACTAAGGATGACAGAAGAAGAATCAATGCCTTTGAGTTGTGGTGCGAGAGAAGAGTGTTTAAGATATCCTGGACTCCTAAGAGAACAAGCAGGTTTGTCTTGGAGAAGGTGAAACCAAGCTTCTCCTTAGAGGCAAGGATTCTGAGACTCTGTCTCACATACGTTGGGCATGGCACCAGAAGGGACAAGTCTTTGGAGAAGGACATCATGCTTGGAAGGGTGGAGGGACAGTGCAGAAGAAGACACTGGAGGAGACAGACTGCCTTTGGGGCAATGGTTAAGTGCGCTGGAAACATTGAGATTGGCTCAGGATCAGGGAGGGTTCAGAGCTATTTTTCATAAGATCATAGTCAATTTCATTGCACATAACGACAATCTCATTCACAAATGCAAAATCCTAAATTAAAAATGTGTAAATGGAGCCAACTAGTGGAAACCAATTTCCATGGAGTCAATTCCAAAGTATGGCTCCACATGTATGTCAAAGTAGAATTCTCTGACACGGGAATTCTAATGGCTGCCCCTTAGGAAATAGATTGCTCGACCTTCTTCGGAAGTGCTTCTGTACACTCTTGAACCTCCAACCTTCAATTAACAGTTGAGTACTAAACCATTTGGGCTACCCAAGTTCTGTAAACTGACCCCAGTAGGGAATAAAAATTGAGGTTATTATAAGCATTATAGATTAATATTTACAATATATTAATTTTACATTAACATTAATAAATTTAAAAAATCATCTAATAATAGACACAGACTACTTGTTATTATTTAGCATCTAATCAGATGAAAAGTTTTATATCAGGAACAAAAAGCAACACTCAAAATCTATATTGTGCTAGTGTTATGGGTTGTAGAGCAAACATTTACAGTGGGCTCTACAGTGGGTTTTCAGAGGCAGTAAATCATATGCAAGGAGATTGTCCAGATTGTCCATCTTTATCCCATGGAGCAACTGGTGGATTTGAACTGTCTTCAGTTGGCATCCCAGCTCTTTACTATTAGGCTACCAGAGCGCCTTAAAAGCTCTGTTAGCATGAAGAAATGCTCAAAATCACTGGCAATAAGAGAGATGCAAATCAAAACCACAATGAGATATCATCTCACCCCAGTAGCAGTGGCAAAGTTAAATAGGACAACAAGTAATAAATGTTGGAGAGGATGTGGTGAGATGGAAACTCTTATAAATTGTTGGTGAGATTATAAAAATGGTACAAACACTCTGGAAAGCAGTTTGGCGCTTCCTCAAAAAGCTGAACGTAGAAATTCCATATGACTCAGCTATTCCAGTGCTTGGAATATACCCTGAGAAAATGAGAACTGAGGCACAAACAGAGACTTGTACACCAATGTTCATAGCCGTGTTATTCACTATCACAAGAACATGGAAACAGCCAAAATGTCTAATCACAATCGAATGGTTTGAGAAAATATGGTACATTCACACAATGGATGTGGCACGCAGGAGCAATGATTTTATAAATTATTACCTAACTTTGGAGGGACTGGAGAGATTATGCTGTGTGAACTGACTCAGTCCCACAAGGATAAATACTGTATAATATTATTATTGTAGGATGAGTATGAGGATCCAAGGGGGGAGATTAGAAGTAGAGGGATGAGGATATGTGGGAAGGGGAGTGTGGATTAATCATGGGATTGTACAATTTGATGGGGGGTTGAGGGAAATTAGAAGAATCTAGTCTGAAAGCAATGGATTTGAATTTTGTAAATAAATTCATATAATAAAAAATCAATAAAGTTGTGTTAGACATTGTATTTAATAGTGACATAATGGCAGCGATTCGTGCTATTTCAATTCAACACTATACTACAAGTTCCTATTCAGTGCAGTGAGGTTAAGAAAAATTAGAGTTATTGAAAAATAATGGAAAAAATATGCCCACTATTATTTACACTTATATATATAAATCTATTTCCACAGGAAATTCAAAGACCCTGCAGGTGTATTAATCAGTATTAATAAGACTTTACGAAGATTGCTGGAGGAAGGGGAATCAATGTTCAAAACCCAAAAGCATTTTCATGAAATATAAACATAACTTTATAAATAAAATTTTAAAATCTCAA